TTGAAGTGTATCCGCAAATTTGTAGGGTATACGCGAACATAACACACTCACACCCACACACACATATATATACACCCACACAATTGGTGACACATAGCTGGTGCTTACCTCGGGTCTTCCACTCCAGATTGTGTGTGCAAGTTGTCTTGATGTATGAGATGTACACAGGCGGCTCAACAGACAGCTCAGTACAGGTTAGTTGTACAAGGGTCTGCACGTACCGCTTATCGATACCTAGTTTGCGACAGAATATACGACATGTGAGGGACCATACGGGAGATTGCGACATGCGTATACGCCACGTGTTGTCACCTAATTTGCGACAGAATATACGACATGGGAACCTACGGGAGATTGCAACAAACCTATACTAGCCGCATGTCGTCAACCAATTTGCGACAGAATATACGACCTACGGGATAACTGGCCGCATATCGACGCATGACAGCTGAATTAAATTATCGTCATTTAATATGAGACACAAAAAACGACGGGTAGGTGCATGATACAGGACATGGCGATGCCAAGTAGTCCTTGGGGGTAGGCACCGTAGGTAGAAATAAACATGCACATACACAGAAATAGACAAACTCATTCACTCGCTGCTATATACTTACACATACACACATACCTTCCCTCCCACACGGCGTATCCGACGTATACAACAACTCAATCTGTCCGTCACTCGTCACACTCATCGTCTGGCCCTGCACCTGTCCTATACTCTCACTGGTCCCATCTGCGGCCACCCTACACACCCCCACGCCCCCCTTATCACCCCCTCCACATTTGCCCGTAGTAAGTGGCTCACATACAGACACGTAGAACACCTCGGTGTGCGTGCTTGTGGAGTGCTTTGCTTCCCAACCACCCCACTCCTTTGCGTAACCGTTTAAGTTGTGGTCGTTCAGAATGGACAGGTCGTAACGGTGACCGTCGGCGCTGTCGGTGTAGGGTTTGCACGCCTGCAGACGAGAGTAACACATGAATGCGAATGAGTAGTTGGAAGTGTATGTGTATGTGTATGTATGTGTGTATGTGTAAGTCTATGTGTAAGTGTAAGTGTAAGTGTAAGTGTAAGTGTAAGTGTATGTGTACGTGTATGTATACGTGTACGTGTACGTATACGTGTATGTATATGTGTATGCGTATTTTAAATGTATGTGTATGTGTATATGTGTTGATGCAAGTATGTATGTGTATGTGTATGCGTAGGTGCAAGTGCATGTGTATGTGTAATTGTATGTTTTTGGGCATGCAAATGTGTGTGTATGCGCGAGGTGCAGTTATATGTGTTTGTATATGTTTTAGGGTTTAGGGTTTTTTTAAACCCTAAAACCTTAAAAACTGTTTTATATATGTGTATTGTGTATGCGTGTGAGAACGTGTCACAAACAAACACATCAAAATACCTCCGCAATAGCCTTGAAGTCAAATACCGAGTACTCAGATACCGACATAACCAAAACACATTGCTACACCCCCACACATACAATTCATAATACGCACACACACACACAACTATATATATACACATACAATTCATAATACGCACACACACACACAACTATATATATACATATACAATTCATAACCATATTAAATCACAGACACACAATTCTTAATACACACCCAGACAGACAACTATATTCATTCACAGTCACACAATTCATAACACACACCCACACACACAGTCACAACACTCGCTTCCCCCCCTCCTCTCTCTCCCACACACCTCCTCAACAGCCTCAACGTCGCTATCAGGGTCGTAGCACACGAGATTGGTGTGCCAGGTGAGTGTGTATTCGCACGTGTTGGTTATTGAGTACATTGCTGGTGTGCCTATCTGTTTATCCGGATCACACACAAATTTTACCACAACACTCTTCTGTAGCGTGACACCTTCGTGCTGGGCCTGGCAGTCACCGCCCCCGGACATGAGCATGGACACGGCACCTGCGACAGGGGTATAGAGACAGGGAAGATGAATATATATATGTATATGTATATATATATATATATATATATATTATCATTATTATAGAGACGAGGGAGGTGA